CACAACACAAGACATAACTCTACACATGGACATCACCAGATGGTTGATACCGAAATCAGACTGACTATGTTATTTGCAGCCAAAGATGGAGAAGCTCTATAAGGTCAGCAAAAACTAGACCTGAGGCTGACTGTGGCACAGATTATGAGCTCCTTATTGCAAAATTCAGACATAAACTAGAGAAAGTAGGGAAAATCACTAGTCGATTCAGGCACGACCTAAATCAAATCTCTTATGATTATACAGTGGAAGTGACAAATAGATTCAAGGGGTCAGATCTGGTAGACAGAGTGCCTGAAGAATTATGGACAGAAGTTCATAAGATTGTACAGGAGGCAGTGACCAAAACAATCCCAAATAAAAAGAAATGCAAGAGGCAAAGTGGTTGTCTGAGGAGGCCTTACAAATAGTTGAAGAAAGAAAAGAAGCAAAAGGCAAAGAAGAAAGGGAAAGATATACCCAATTGAATACAGAATTCCAAAGAATAGCAAGGAGAGATGAGAAAGACTTCCTCAGTGAACAATGCAATGAAATAGAAGAAAAGAATAGAATGGGAAAGACTAGAGATCTCTTCAAGAAAACAGGAGATACCAAGGGAACATTTCATGCAAAGATGGTGCAATAAAGTATAGAAACAGTATGGACCTAACAGAAGCAGAAGATATTAAGAAGAGATGGCAAGAATACACAGAAGAACTGTACAAAAAAAGTTCTTAAAGAACTAAATAACCATGATGTTGTCTTCATTCACTTAGACCCAGACATCCTGAAGTCTGAATTCAAGTGGGCCTTAGAAAGCATCACTACGAATGAACCTAGTGGAGATAAAGGAATTCCAGCTGATCTATTTAAAATCCTAAAAGATGATGCTGTTACAGGGCTGCACTCAATATGCCAGCAAATTTGGAAAACTCAGCAGTGGCCAAATGACTGGAAAAGGTCAGTTTTCATTCCAATCCCAAAGATGAGCAATGCTAAATAAAGTTTAAACTACTGCACAGTCACGGTCATTTCACACGCTAGCAAGATTATGCTTAAAATCCTTCAAGTTAGCCTTCAACAGTATGTGAACCAAGAAATTCCAGATGTACAATATTTAGAAAAGGTAGAGGTACCAGAGATCAAATTACCATCATTTGCTGGATCATAGAAAAAGCAAGAGAATTTCAGAAAAAAATCTACTTCTGCTTCATTGACTACATTAAAGCCTTTGACTGTACGAATCATAATGAACTGTGGAGAATTCTTAAAGAGATGGGAATACCAGACCACCTTACTTGTCTCCTGAGAAACATGTATGCAGGTCAAGAAGCAACAATTAGAACCAGACATGAAATAATGGACTGATTCAAAATTGGGAAAGGTGTATGTTGTCACCCTGCTTATTTAACTTATATGCAGAGTATATCATGAAACATGCCAGGCTGGATGACTGCCAATCTGGAATCAAGATTGCTGGGGGAAATATCAACAACCTTAGATATGCAAGTGATATATCCTAATGACAGAAAGTGAAGAGGAACTAAAGAGCTTCCTGATGAAGGTGAAAGATGAGAGTGAAAAAGCTGGCTTAAAACACAACAATCAAAAAACTAAGCTCATGGTATCTGATCCCATCACTTCATGCAAATAGATGGGGAAAAAGTAGAAAAAGCAGCAGATTTTATTTTCTTGTGCTTCTAAATCACTGTGGATGGTGACTGCAGCCATGAAATTAACAGATGCTTGCTTCTTGGAAGAAAAGGTATACAAACCTAGATAGCATATTAAAAAGCTGAGACATTACTTTTCCAACAAAGGTCCATATAATCAAAGCTATGGTTTTTCCTGTTTGTCCTGTACAGATGTGAGAGTTGGACCATAAAGAAGGCTGTGCACTGAAGAACTGACATCTTTGAACTGTGGTGCTGGAGAAGACTCTTAAGAGTCCTTTGGACTTCAAGGAGATCAAACCAGTCAATCCTAAAGAAATCAACCCTGAGTATTCATTGGAAGGGCTGATGCTGAAACTGAAGCTCCAATACTTTGGCTACCTGATATGATGAGCTGACTCATTAGAAAAGACCCTGATGCTGGGAAAGAACGAATACAGATGGAGAAGGGGGTGACAGAGGATGAGATGGTTGCATAGCTTCATCAATTCAATGGACATGAGTTTGAGTGAGCTCTGGGAGACAATGAAGGACAGGGAAGCCTGGTATACTGCAGACAATGGGGTGGCAAAGCATCGGACATGACTTAACAACTGTATAACAACAGATATTTAAATGGAGACTGCAACAATGAAGGCCACAGACAAGGATGTAAATTATTAATTGTCAAATTAATCCCAGGGATAGCAGGAATGAGATAAAAGCATGATAGAGAAAAGCATTGGATAATTTATGGTGGAGGACAAGCTACTCAATTTAGTGGCTTAAAGCAATAGTGTTCTTGTATCTCACAATTGTGTGGGACAGGCATTCAGGCAGGGCTCAGCAGAGCAATTATTCTGCTTCAAGGAGCAACATGTGGCACTCATTGGGTCTTGTTTTAGGCTTCAAGAAGGGTCCTGCAAAAATCTAGTACCTATTGACCCTCACGCCGTCTTTCTAAATGGCATCTCATCCTTCCAGGTACTCCATGTAGTCTGGGCTTCTCACAGCATGGTGGTCTCAAGGTTGTCACGCTTCTGGCCTGACAGCTGTCTTGTAAGAGAAGGGAGGAAGGAAATGGAGGCTCCTGCGGTCTAGCTACGGAAACTCACAGAGTGTTACCTCAGCAACATTCAGCATGTCAACAGGAGCCACAGTGACCACTCAGCCCGAGGACAGGAAGTGCAGGACACGCAGCGTACCTCATGACAGGGACCATGTCAAGGCAGGTGTGGCCTTATTTAATTCACCATGGAGGGAAAGGTTAGTTTGGACCAGAAAGATCAGAAAAAGCTGTATATGGAAGGGAGTATATAAACTGGTTTTAAAGGATATGGATCATTTGAAAAAAAAGGAATGGAAATAAGGCTAAAAAATATTAAGTATGTAAATATAAGACAGGAGTAATGGGGAAAACTTTCAAAATACTTAGCCAAACAAGAATTATATTTCTTCATCAATTTACTTTGCTCTAAAAACAAAAGGCAAGTGGGAATTAGCTTCAGCGTGGCAAGTTACTTTTTCCTGGTCACAGACACATTGATTTGCCTGGGAAGATAATTTTTCTTTAACTGTGGTCAGCTTATTTGAAAAAAGGTGAATTTGAGCTTAAGGATATAATAGAGTTAACTGGGGAAGGTGGGTCGAGTACATTTTGTTTTGAGAAGTGTTTACTGTTAGAACTCTCCAAAGGCCTAGGGAAACACGTGTAGATAGTCTTGAGACAGGATGCAGGGCAGCAAGACAAGGATGTTATTTAGCAAACAATGATCTGGCAGTTCAGATTTAGCAAGTCTGCTCAAGGTCCTAAGAGGGTAATGGTGATACGTGTTTAGCCCTTGGGTCTCTCATAAGGTTTCCTTCAGAAAGGTTTAATCATTATAGCCACAATTTTCTGACTGAGAAGAGGGATTCCTTAGGTTTGTAGTTCACAGATAAATAGCTCTCTAGATTAATGTGCATGCAGTACATGTACGGAACACAGTGCCTGGTACTTGGTAGATGTTTAACACTGCTTAACAAATTGTATTACTCATCTTCTCTGTTTTCAAATTTAGATAACCTACCTTTTCCCTCAAAGTTTTGTCTATGTAATAAGCTGGAAACAGAGGAGTATTTTTACAATACATACCAACTAAAAATTAGTCATTCCTGTAGGAGGGGAGCATAGCTCTTGTTTAGCGCTTCACTTTTCAAAACGTGGATCTAACATTTTCTTTCAATTTTTTTTTTTTTGGCACTGATAAATTTTGAATTCATGACTATCAAGCTTAACATTGGAAAAACAAAGGGAGAGGGAACAAAGCTCATGAAAAATACTTTAAAATGTATCTTTTAACGTATTATAACATCTTGGAGAATTATCACATCTTACTGCTCTTTTATGTTGTGAAAACTTACTCTTTGTATATTTAATCATTTTTAGCCTTATCCCCACTCCATTTTTTTTTCTCAAAGATCCATAGCCTTCATCCTCCTCCTCAGATAAAGCAGTAGCTTTTAGTTGTTTTATTTCATTGGGAGCACTGAAAAATTCCAAGCTACAGTAAGCAAGGGATAACATTAGTGTTAGAGTTTGACAAAGGTCAACAGGCTTGTGCATTTTACACAGTTGTCTACTTTCGATAGTTTTGTTTCTGGAGCTCTAGGTGGCTTCTCAGAAACTGCTAGGCTAAGCAAACGAAAGGAAAACATACATTGGGACACCCTGAGACTCTGAAAGCTTAATCTAGAGCGAACCGGTTAAGCCTTCAGAGACCAGCGCCGAGGCTGTGTACGATTGGTAGGCAGAGCAAAGACTGATTAGCCCAGGATGCGGGGCGGAGGGACACTGCCTTCCCCCAGCGAGTACAGAAGCCTCCTTATTAACACAGGATGGCCGGGCTGAAGAAATGTTTTCCATCCGCATTACCACTAAAGTAAATAAGTGAACCTTGGTTTATACGAGCTGCAGAGATGTGTGCCCCTCTGCGCATATAGTGTGCTGATGAATCTGTAGATATTAAGGGTTTGGCTCTCTCCCCCAGGAGATGGGCTAGGCGTCGCCTGCCAGCGTCTTTTGCAATCTCCCTCCCTGACCTGCCCGGCGGAGAGGACGGAGGCGGGGGTGACCACCGCGCATCCGGGCGCGCCTGTAGGCGGCAGCGCGCTGCTTAATTGATGGAGAGCCGGACGGCCCTGCGGGTCGGCTGCGGGCGCGGTGCGAGTGTCTCGGCGTAGGAGGGCAGGGCGGCCGGCCCCTCCCACCCCGCCTTTTCTCGAGTGTCCATACCCGGGCCTGGCAGCCGGCGCCGAGCTGCGGGCCAGTTGCGCGGCGACACCGAAGGCGGTTGGGTGTACGAGGACCGCGGCTGACCTGTCGGCGTCATGCGCGCCCTCCAGGGTCTGCGGGGGCCCCGGGCGCCGGCCCTACCGCTGCTTCTGCTGTGCTTCCTCGCCGCGGTGCCCCGGAGCTTGGAGGACGGCCTTTCCACAGGTGTGATGGTTGCAGGGCCAAGGAGCGGGCGGAGAGCGCGCGGGCGTCGGGAGCCAGAGGTCCCGGGATGCTGGCGGCCGCGGGTGGGGGCGACGGCCGCCTTCGCCTGTGGGCCACGCGTGGGTTATCGAAACCTGCCGGGAGACTGGGGCGCCCCGCGGCACGGGGACGTGGGTAGTAGGGCAGTGTTGGTGTGTTTCTAGGTGAGGTTGCGGGTGGGAGCAAGGCAGCGACTTGGCCTGTCTGAACTGGCAGGATTTCTGAAAGACACGTTTTCCAAGGCCACCTCCCTTCACTTGAATCGATGCGTGTGTGCTCAGTCGCGATAGTGAGGCTTAAATATCACCTCCTCCTTCCTGGCAGGCGGGTTGGCTTTGAGGATGTTTTTTAGAGCTGAGTTTAAATAACAACACAACACAGCCAACCATCCAACTAACCAAACAAAGCCCCACGACAGGAGGATAATGTGAGTGTGTATCTGCTTTTACACCTTGGTCTTTGAAAACGAAAGACTGTAGGTTTTTCGTTTGTTTATTTTTGTTTTTCTGGTTGTGTAAGACACTTTGAAAGAGGGATTTTTGGTGCAAAGCATCACCAGATTTGCCCATTTTCGCTTCACCTGTTTATAATTTTCATGATGAAAGTATTTCATCTCACGTACATTCTAATGCAAGTTTCTGTGTTATAAATTTCAGAGTATTACCTGCTAATTAGGATAGTAGATCACCTCTAGCTTGGCAAATATTGCCCACCAGTAACTCAAGTCAGGATCTTACTCTACACAAGGTTTTGAACGTTTCATAGGAATTCATTTTTATGAGCTTATAACGTGTAGACTTGTAACATATTTTAAAAATGGAAAGATAATCAAATAATAAGATTGTTTATTTTTTTAGTTAGGTTGCAGGAGACCTGTTTTTTTTGTTTGTTTGTTTGTTTTTAATAAAGGAAAAAAGCTTCTGTTTAAAAAAAAATAAATGCAGTTTAACAGGTGTAGCTGTTAACTACTTGGACAAAACGTCTTGGGTTGCCTCAGTTTCCAAATTTCCTTGCCCCACTTTCTCATTCATACCACTTATAAAGAATGGCCAAGGACATTTTTTTCTCCACCCTGGGGCTATCACGCATTCACGTGTCATTCACCTGAGAGTATTGCACTTCTGAGGACCAGTGCATCTTAGGTGTGTGCTAGAACTTGGTTTCTCAACTTGACTGTATGTTCGAATTACTAGTGAGCATTAAAAATACTGATACGGTGAATCCTGCCTTAAAAATTCTGATTCAGTTGTCCTGGGATTCAGTCTAGATGTGAGGAGGTTTAAAAGCTCCCATGTGATTTTTATCATATGATCCTAAGCAGGTTGAAAACCACTGCTTTAAAATGATACAACCTAAAGAGTGCACTGTTAGATAGGTATTCCATCGGTATCAGGAACCTAGAGAGTGCACTGTTAGATAGGTATTCCATCGGTATCAGGGAGTCAGGTTTAAATTGACGCTTGAGTAGACTTCTAAAGAGAAAAAAGTAGGAAACAAATGAAGGTGGAATAAATTAACAAATGAATCTGAAATAGAATGATGTACGCTATGTATGTTACGTCGAATGTCTGTGTATATATGTAGTGTAAATCCTGAACTTTTAACTGCCACTTAAAGCTAAAATTATGGAAGAATGTGACATATAAAAAAACATGAGGTTAGCATCTCATTTCAAGGGAGAATTAAAAATTGTCAGGCAGCCTCATCTCACTTTATAGATGCTGTATCGAACTTGATGAGATTCAGTTTCCTCTTTGCTAAAGACCATTATGAAGTTTACTCCCCTTTGTTTTTTTTAACCTAGGTGCTTTGAACTACTTGAAAAGAGATGTTCTATAAACCTAAGATTTGGGGCCAAATTTGAAAATAAAAATGGTTATTGTATTTTTTTATCATAAATGTATCATATTTACTATGTAACAACTGTATGCCAGACATTGCACTATGTATTTTATAGCTCTATGGGTTAGTTTTTATTATTCCTCACTTTCAGATGAGGAAATTGGAATTTAAAGAGCTAAATAGTTGCCCAAGTACACATAATTAGTTAAGCAGTAGAGCAGGAAGTTTAGCGTTGTTCAATCTGACTCCCAATACTGTTTTCTTACACACAGTACTCACTTGTCTCTCTGGAGTGGGTGTGTATGTGTATGAAAGTTTGGAATCACTGACCACAGAATGCATAGATATAAATACTTTATTTACATATGGACTGAAGGGCATGCTGACTCAGTCTACAGTCCTAGAATAAAGTTTGGCACAAGGACTCACCTTAACTCTTAGGCTATTTCTTAATTAAGAAATGTAAAATAGCTTTATTGAAGGAGAAATATTACATAAGTGGGAATATTTAAATACCACTATTACTCTTTGGGGAGGGGAACAAATTGAAGGAATGAGCCATGCTTATCTAGTGAAAAATGTTGCAGGGGAATCATTTGAAGTGATCATTTTTAACTCTGGATGATGTTGCTTACATGCTTCCTTGATCAATGCTCCCTTCTTTTCAAGAGACACACAGAGCAACTGCCCAGTAATAAATACTCATTGCCATAGATATTATTCAAGCACCTACATATGCCTGACATTGCTGGTCTGTATCTAAGTATAAAACCTTAGCTGTTTTTACTTTTCATAGTGTTTAAACTTTAAAGGAACAGATTAGCTATAAGCCTGTCTTTAATAGGGTTGTATCTGATGGATCAAAATTTTGACCCTAAATTGTTACATTTACAATTATATTATATACACATTGTTCAACTGGTTCTTCCTCTTCCCCGTCTTTTGTCCCAACCTTCCCTCCCTTCTGGGAAGCAGGCCTAATAGCCATTAGGCGGGGAAAAGCAGGAATCATCCCCCTTGGTGAAGAGAACCTGAGGATTCAGGTCAGGGCATTAGAGCTAAGCCAGTCAGGATGGCCTCCAGGTAGAAGAGCCGCCCAGTGTGAAGGGTTAGAGCCTCAGCTCAGGAGGTGGCTGTTGGTGCAGAAAGCTGGTGCCAGACCTCAAGCTTTAGAAGCAAGGGCTTCTAAACAGCCATGACTTGGGGGTCTGATCCTGATCATGGGATGGAGGTCAAGTATGCAGGAGCTGACAGGGCCGGACACTGGAGCCTGAGTGGGTGAGGAAGACACTTCTTGGAGCTATGAGTGGCAGCGGCAGTGGGAGACTAGATTAAGTGAAGTTGGCAAGGATAATAGAACCCAGGTTTTCCTCTAGAGAAGAAGGAAATCAACAGGGAAAACTAAAATGAATCTTGTGGTGTTAGGTTGCAACTGGCAGCATTAGTGTGAAGTTGTGACTTTAAATATCTATCTGTATCTCTTATGTCTCTCTCTATATCTATATAAATGGTTGCATCGATATGAACATGTATGTATAAATATATGTATAATGCATATGCATGCGTGCATGCTAAGTCACTTCAGTTGTGTCCAACCTTTTGTGACCCTGTGGACTGTAGCCCACCAGGCTCCTCTGTCCCTGGGATTCTCCAGGCAAGAATACTGGAGTGGATTGCCATGCCCTCGTCCATGGGATCTTCCCAACCCAGGGATCAAACCTGTATCTCCTGCATTGGCAGGCAGGTTCTTTACTACTAGCACCACCTGGGAAACCCATATAATGCATATGTATGTCATATATATTTACAGGTGACCACTGAACAACACAGCTTAATCTTTGTATAATTTATAGTCAGCCTTCTGTATCAGTGTGGTTCCTTTGCATCCGAGGATTGAATCAACTATGGACCACATAGTAATCTGTTTTTTACTACTGAAGAGATATGTGCAGACATGGATCCTTAAAGTTTGAATCTTCATTGTTCATGGCCAACTGTATATATATTATGACCATTACATATAGGTGTATATAAATATGTGTTATGCATCTGTATGTATGAATATGCACAATGTATTCTTAGCTCTGTTCAGTGAAATGGAGCAAAGACTTTCCCATAGTGATGAGCATACTTAGCACCCAAATCTTGATTCTAAATACATTTCTTCCTAATAATAACTAGAACTTTATATAGAAATGGCTGATTTTAGGACTGGAGTCGAGAGAGGATGTGATAAGCTTGGACCCTCTTGTGCCAGAGAGCAATGAAGTGTTCAAAGAATGATGAGTAATGGAAAAGGATGCAGAAGCCAGAGGGAAAGGGCTCCCACTTGATAAATAAAGCATCAAAGTAAATAATAATACTGATGGACTAGTATCCATAGCCACTGAAAAATGTCCATTGACTTATATAGGTATTCATGAGTACACATTTAACTGAATTAATTAAGTTAATTGAAAGTTTGATGAGGCACAAAATTATATAGTTTCAAAGTGAGTGAGTGAGTGATAGTCATACAGTTGTGTCCGACTCTTTGTGACCCCATGGGCTGTAGCCCGTCAGGCTTCTTTGTCCATGGAATTCTCTAGGCAAGAATATTTATTTATCCAGTTTCAAAGTATCTTCCCACAACGTTTTGGGAAGTAACTTGCCACAAAATATTAATGAAAAGAGAAAAAGAATAAAGTGGAGAATCCTGGCTGACATCACTTGGTTCAGATGATCAAAGTGTAAATCATTAAGGAGAAAAATAAAAATTGTGTATCATCTGGTAGGATGCAGTGAGAGGGAGGCAGTGTCTCCTCTGTGATACTCCTGCTGAAGATGTCCACTCTGAATCTAATTGTGTTACAACGTACCTATCCTGGAACTCTCATAAGCATCAAGGTCATAAAAGTCAGGAGAGACCAAAGCTGTGAGAGTGAATAGAGAGACGTGGTGGCTCATGTGATCCTGAGCTGAGACCTTTGAATAAAAAGTATATTACAAAGACTTTTGTTGAAACTCCAGTAAGGTGTGGGATGAGATCAGAGGGCATAAAATACTAATTTCCTGATTTTCACAGCAGTATTGGGGTGTTTTGAGGTGTGTCCTTTGTAGGAAACATACTGTATTTTTCC